GGAATATTTGTGGAGTGGCTTTCATTTCCTTGAACAAAGAACCCAGGTTGTTTAGGAGAAGGTAGTGAACCTTCACCAACCAACATAGCAACCACAGCCGGTGTGTTAGGTCTATCTTCTGCTCGTTGTTGTACACATAATAGAGCAATGTGTATCGATCGCAACACTTCACTRACAGAGCACGAGTTACTTAAAGATGCGTCAATTAGATCCAGAGACTTGCCTTCTTTRTAAAGTCTCCATGCCTAAATGAATCCAAGTAACAACCACCAATTAGTTCCCACCAGAAAGATAAACCCATATATSTACATGCAGMCATGCATATATTATACATACATATGTAGATATATGTGTRTGTAKATAGAGAGAGATACATATACATGGATGTGTTGGATCTTMCCTAGCTATATCATCACTCCTAGCTAATCACTTATATGTAAATATATTTTATAAATACCAAGGCTGCGTAGTTAATTTTCATTATTGGATGATCATAATCAGCACACTTACATGTCCAAGAAGGTTATCATGGTGKTCTTCATGAATGAAACCTCTATTATATTTCCCACTCACAATCTCCAACACCAAAACTCCAAAGCTAAAAATATCCGATTTTACTGAGAACAAACCATTCACTGCATATTCTGGAGATATGTAGCCCCTGAGTAGAAATTAGGACCATGCAAATCAATAGACAAAAAGGMAAATATTATAAAATTTATCAAACAATGTAAGGTTGAGGAATATAATTCTTACAACGTTCCCACCACTCTTTTCGTATTTGCTTCACTCTCATATCCTTTAARCATTCTAGCCAAACCGAAGTCTGATATCTTTGGATTCATGTCATTGTCGAGCAAGATATTACCTGCTTTTAAATCCCTATGCACAACTCTAAGTCGGGAATCTTGATGCAGATAAAGAAGACCTCGGGCAATCCCATGGATAATGTGGAAGCGTTGTGGCCAATCAAGTAATGACTTCCTTAAATTGTCTTCTCAAAATGCAAAAAAAAACCCTTAGTTTGTTAATTATATTGCTTTATAATACGCTAAATATTTTTTAATATATGGAATTGAAAGGGATCCCAACCAAATATAAACAGGTTGAGGCTTTTGTTAGGCATGTATTCATAAATGAGCATTGTCTCGTCGCCTTGAATGCAGTATCCTAAGAGCTTCACAAGATTCCGATGCTGAAGCTTAGCAATGCATATAGCCTCATTCTCAAATTCATCAAGTCCTTGTGTAGAAGACTTTGAGAGCCGCTTTACAGCAATCTCTTGTCCTTCCTCTAGAACACCCTGAATAAATATTACCATTAGTAGTGCATGTCTTTGTGTTAAATGTAAATTCAAAGGCAATTCAATATCTCATTTAATATTAGATTAACTAAAAATTTAGTTGACGTGATTACCTTGTACACGGGACCAAACCCGCCTTCTCCGAGGATGTTATCAATAGAAAAGTTGTTGGTAGCCCGAGAAATTGTTGATAAGCTAAACAATGGCACCTCTATACTTCCAGCCTTGCTGTTACTTTGGTGACCTTTAACAAGGACCTTACCTGCTCTAGCTAGAAAATATGAAGGTGGAGAGGACGATCTTATTTTCAAAATTTGATGATAATTGAAATAGCAATTTTAGATCCATTATATTTCACTTACCTTCTCTTTCGGTATCTGATCTCCTCTTCTTACCCCAAATGTAGCGTGCCAATATCAGGCCCAACACAACTACGCCTACTGATATTGGCAAAATAACTTGGATAGTTACTTGTTTCCTTCTGTGGGAGCTGGAACGGTGGTCTACGATCATAATGAGAAATCGAACAGAAATGCATCAATTTGGTAGTTGAAACCACAAACAGAAATCAAACCTTATGATTTAAAAAAGTTACTAAGGGAATGAAAACAAAGATCATAATCAGTGTAATTAATATTGTACATTAAAATCAACATGAAATGCATCAATATGGTAGTTACCTAACAACTCAGAGGCCGCCTGTCGAACATAGAGATCTTGCCCGTTTAGTGTGTACACTCGTACGTCAATCAAATCACCAAACCATAGCAAGCATCCAATTCCACCTTGAGTGATGTTAGGATTTGCATAGGCGGTGCATAAGCAATTAACCTTGCAAGCTACCTCACATTCTTGGAGGCTCATGTTGCCATCAAACACAGCATTCTGCGTGTCTGGCAATTTCATGCTCGAATACTTGAGAAATCCCTCTCCAGGCCCACAATCCAAGGCTCTAATCCGGCGACATCCACTAGTCCAATTATCATGACTCAATTCTTCTGGGTTTGTTAGTTCAAACCCTTTCAAGCAGCCACAGTTGGGAGAAGCTTCAATAYTACAGCTTCCATATGGACCACAGCGTCCATATTTGTCACAATGATCCAGGGGTAAGGTGAAATGAACCTGCATCCATTCTCGGGTCTGCAGATTTAGCTGCCAGGTCTCAATCTTGCCACCAGGAGTTGCTATCAGCCTTAGCAAGTATCCGGTGCTATTAAAAGTATACACAAAATACATCTCCTTTGAATTGAAAACCATATCAACTTGGGATGGTGGCTGGCCAGCAAACGCTATACCATTATACGACCCGACCCTTGCTTCAATTACCGAGTTTTTTCTAATATATTGTTGAGGATATTTACCCTTAACCATTAAAAACCTGACTGTATACTCACCTGGGGAAGGATCATCTGCACTCCTCCATGATGTCAGGTATACATCTCTTCCCGTTATGAGGTTCTTGCCCAGTTTCATTCCTGATATGAAGGTATCTCCAGGGTAATCAAAACTTTGCCATATGAAATTTTCGTTGCTGACATGATTTTCATCCTTAATTACTAGATTGCCGGTATCCAAGAGTTGCATAATGGGATTGACAATATCTGTGCCAGATGCTGAGGAGTTGGATGACCAAATGACCGTATCGTCGCCATTGACTAGAGACAGGATCCCTTGGCTGTCCAACCTGGCCATTCCCGAGGTGTTGATAAGTGGAGTTTCTCGGTTAGCAACCCATAAAACTGTAAGAGGTAATGTGTTCTTAAACCATATCCCCAGGTATCGTTTTTTTGAACTTCCAGGGTTAAAGAAACCCATCTCAAATGTTTCATTCTCCGAAACAATCGTCTCGTCGTCTGTGATGTTTTGATACACAGTTATGGTATCTACTGAACTACAAGTTCTTACTACCAATATTAGAAAGAAGGTAATAGAAGGAAGTAAGAGTATGGTTTGATTCATATTGATGCAATGATTCTTTGAGTTGCTTCTTCCTCGCAACTTATTGTCCTTCATGACTACAAAAGCTAAACTTCAACCACTATTCTTTTTATAATCATTCTCCCAAGAAGGAAGACTTGGTTTACCAAAGAGTGATGCCAACAGAAAAAGGCGGTTGCGGTTTTTTTTAGAGAAAATTACAAATTCTCCTTATGGTTTGCAAATCATGTGGTTGTGGTCCCAATAGTTTTATCAATCACAAAGTCGTCTTCTTTGTTTGGATTTTGCTTTGGTATTGGTGAAGGGCCCTAACAGTCGTTAACTCGGCCCCGTTAAGTGACCCTCAGCATGCTAGGGTAGTTTTGTCTTTATTTTTATTTATATATATATATATATATATATATAGAAGGAAGATCAAATGTTAACCAACAATTTTGTGTTAACTTTGCAAACCATGTCAACCAATCAAATTTCATTCTTCTAGTAGGTTTATGTCATGTTCACAAGTTAATTACAAGGGTATTTCAGTAAATTGATTTGATATTTAACTTCCAAACAATTAATGGGGAGTTACAAATCATCAAATCCCAAAAAATATGCATTTATAATATATATATATATATATATTAATCTTGATCTTCTATGTTCATTGTTTTATGAGTTTTTAATTCGCATAGGAAACACCGTAGTAAAATTTTCGGTATCGATCAAGTTAATATGGATAAACGCAATGGAAAAGAAATCGACAACAGTGAGAAGATTAAAATGGTTTATGATGACATTGAAGTTCGAGTTCGGGAAATGAAGAAATTACCCAAAGAGAATGTCTTGGTAATAGATTAATATTTTTGATACTCGAACTTTTTTGATAATCGGAGTTCGAGTATATATATATATATACTCTTGTTTGATAAGAGGCCGTGGAGGTTGATTTTTGAACATATTTTCAAAACACACCTCTTAACTTTCAAACAATTTTAAAAACAACCCCTCAAACTTTTCAGCCATAAACTTGGTTACAACATACTAATTTATAATTAATAATAATTATTATTAATTATGGTTATTAATTATGGTTATAATTAAAAGTTTTGACAAAAAGCTCCTCATAGGCTACTCTAAGTAGCGTTTCAATAAACTAGCTTATGGTTATTCAAACGTGTATCCATAAAATAAAATAGTTTATAAGCTAGCTTATGTTTGCCACAAGATGCTTTATTATTATAACAATACTTAATATATTAAACTTTTAGTCAATATATACATATATATATATAATATACATATATATATAGAGAGGTTGGTTATTATACAACTCTTGACATTTGTGCAACCAATACAACCCAATCTCAACCGTCCATTTCATTTGATGAATATGTGATTTCATAGAAGTTTTGATTGTTTCCTAATATAAAGTATTAATCATAATTAATGAACTCTATTCGTATTCCATAAATATTCAAATAATAATAAATGAACTTCCATCATTTCTATAAATATATCAATTAATTGGGTTGCAAGAGTTGTACAAATACACAAGGTTGTAAAAGAAATATACCCTATATATATATATATATATATATATATATAATTATAAAAAACTTAATATTATATTAATATATATATTTATAGATGCCTAATTTATTGACCTTTAAATATTGAAGACCAATATTTTTTACCTCTTTTTTTAATGTTTTAGTGTTACGTTATAGATGAAAACAGTTCCATTTTTATGTTTGTCGTATTGCATTGAAGATGTTAACACCTTTATTTATTTTTATGTTTTTAATATTTATGATGTTAGGTTAAAGTTCCACTTATAAAATGATAGAGCAATAAAAAAATAAAAAAGTTACTTATTTTCCAAAAATTATGAAAACGCAGGCATCTACACGTTACTTATATTTTTATGGTGCGATGCACAAAGTCTTTTGAGAAAGTTTTCACGCCATTACTTTTCTTTATATATATTCATCCTCATTTCTACCAAATAATATTAATCCTGAAACATGAGGTTGAAAATTAAGACATTAATTTATTATATTTATTGAATGTGATTAATTTTATTTAATATTTTGATGTGGGTTGCCTTAGTTTGACATAGAGATGGTTGACCGGAACCGTTTAGGACCAGTAGACATGGCCAAAAACAGGTCTGGGGCCCATTTGGCCATCTCTAACTGGACCGGTATATCTTGACATTCTCTAACCGATTACACTTCTTATGGAGTTTAGTTTCAAGACTCGGCCCAGGACTGGGACCGGTTAAACAACAAGCCAAAGTTGATATAAATTATATAACTTAATAATTAACCTCCCTTAGGCAATAACTAATTAGAACCCAAAGTTGATAAAAACTTGCATTTCTAGTATTATCTTGTTAATGGGCTAACAGCAACCAACAAAACAACAAGCCCAATATTAAGCCTAGGCATAAGGCCCAAAACACATTCCAGCCTAGAGGGCAGAGGCAATCGCCAAGCGGAAAATGGGAATTTGACTATTGCCAAAAAAAAATCTGTCTCTTAATGGTTCTAAAACTCTTTGAATTATTTTGTATCATGGATTTTCCTTAACCATTAAGAGCCCTAATTTCATTGTACACTACCAAACAATTATATTTCATTTTGCATTATATCATGAAAGTCTCTTAATCATTATACACCAAACCATTCAGCAATTGACAAATATAATAAAAACCATAGTAGTTGAATGCATTATAATAGAAGTTGAATAATTACATCAACATATTCGATTCAATTAAATTAAAAGTTAAATATCTTAATTAAATTAATCGGTTTAATTAAATAATTTGCCTATAAAATAGATATATGATTGTAAACCTGTTGAAACAAATAAATTAATATTTGTCTAAATATATCCATTGCTTCAAAATTCAAATTAAATTATTGATTTAAATTTGAATACAATTAATTGATCATAAATAATTAATTTTGAAAAATGGATTACCATAATGGCATGTAAATGGAGGTAGTGACCTTGCTCAGTTCCGTCGTCTCTTAATAAAATATTGTTTATTAATGTATATTATTTAAAATTTAATATTATAAGTAGAATGCATGAGTACATTTTATTAAAACTTTATGTTTGAATTTGTGTAATTAACTGTAGATAAATATAATCAAAAATTTGATAAATATTATTTTAAATATAAAAAATCTAAAATATGATTAAAATAATCATTAAGTTTTAATATAATACTTAATTATTATTTTAAAAAAATATTTTATTAAAACAAAAATAAATTTGTTCCTTATTAAACTTCAATTAAATTATAATAAAAAAATGAATTAATAAAATTACACAAAAACGAGAACTTTTAATTAGTTAACTTGATAGAAATATCAATTATTTTTTTTCAAATTTATATTTTATCAAAAAATAAAAACATTTTCGTTTTCTTAAAACCACATAGAATCGCATTATGACATTAAAATGTAAAATAAAACATTAAAATCGAGATGTATCTCGATGTATTGTACGGATACCCTTATAATAAATCTATAACAGATAAATCACAAATCACTTGATTAAAATATAAATTGTCATTATCAATGATTATCTCACTCAAAAGACCAAAATGTAGATTCACAAAGAGGTAAACCTAAAATAAATAAAATAAATAAACAAACCATTTTTTTAGACGGTTCACCATATATAAATTAAGAGTATAATAATTAAGTTGTGAAACCCAAAACCAAAAGCTATCAAAGACCTCTTTTTTTAATTAAAATAATAGTCTCCATTAGATTGTGATTAATGAGTCCTAATTTATCTATACATTTGATTTTTAAATAATACATATCCAAATATGTAACTAATTATATATAATTCTCTCAATAAATATAAATATTTAAACAAATAATGATAAAATCTATTTTATTTCCAACAATAATTAATTAATTATAAAATGAACACATGTATAAATTGACCTAATTACACAACTGAAATCAACATTCTACCAAACAACTTTGAAACTACACAATTATTTAATTACTTGTAATTTTGAATTTTAAGTAATAGAAAGGTTCGACTCTTATTAATGCACTCAATTATTTAATTGCTTCTTCTTCGCAACTTACTGCCCTCAAAAGCGAAACTTCATTGTCTATTTTTGTAATCTTTAATCTCTCTCAAGAATGAAGTCTTGATCTATGAAATGTAAAATAAATGTTTACAGTGAACAAATTATCACATGGGATATCTTGGACTAACGTGTACATGTTATATATTTGACTTTTATCAGTAAAGCCGATGAAGTTAACCTGTATTGAGAGAGAATGTTTACTTTGCAAACCACGTTATTTGTATAAACCGTACAAACCTCATTCAACTAATCATAATTTTTCATTTTGTTTATTTTTTTTGTAATTATGAGAGGTTGATTAATCATTTTTATTATGGACGGTGTTAATTTTGGATATTATCATCTTCATTATTTTAATTGATATGATTATTAATAATTCTAAATAATTAAATTAATATATAATGTATAATTAAGATTAATTAATAATTTTTAACTAATATTAGTAATACTTAGTATTAATTAATAAATTACTGGCAAAACATACATTTAGCAAACTCATGTAACATTTTTCTCCAAACTAATCAACATCCATAAACTAGCATAAAAATCCAGAAGAAAAGGTTCAACTACCAACAAAAAAATATCTCAAATACTATTGTAATTTTGCATAAAAAATAGCTTATAAAACTATATAACCTAATAATAAGTTGAGGAAAAGCTAAGTTATGATCTAAGAACCATATGTTCAGCTTACAAAGTCTATATATTGTTGAAGATCAGATCAGTTAGCTTTGCATATTCAGTTTTCCAGTCCTCATTGGCACCCACTTTTTTGCAGTTTTTCCATCATCACACATCTAAGCCTATAAACAACTGTTATTATGATCAAAACGAGCATTTCACTTAAAACCAATTCATTAGGACTCGTGGTAATGAAATAAAGTGACGTCCAACTTCTACATTTCAAACTAGTTATCTTTTAGGGACTAATGGGAATTATGTTATGAATGTCAAAGCAAGTCCTACAAGTAGAAAGTCTAAACG